TCTGTGCTCTTAGCCTTGGTGCTGTCCTGCTTCTTGCTAAAAATGCTTCTAGCATCCCAGGGTGTTCAAAGATGATGAGAGGAGGGTGGCGGGGATGTTGGGGACCCGAGAGAGCCTGGAGAGGGGGAGCCTGCAGTCTCTGCTCTGGCTCCCTGTTTGCGACAACAGATGGGCTGGCAGCAGAGGAGAGAGGGGCTCGACACAATGCCCATGTTGAGTCTAGGACGCAGAGAAGAGAGAGGCCAGGGTGGCAGAACCCTAACACAGTCCCTCCCAGGTCAACTGCACAGGGCCCGGGGTCAGAACCCGGACACCGGCCACTCTCGGGGCAGCTGCTATGTCAAAGCCCTAGGCCTCTGGACAGGGCTGCCCAGTGCTGGACTCTACCCGGGCCTGGGGTGGGAGTCAGCCGCCAGGGAGGGTCAGTCAGGGTGTGATTCATCTCACCTCCATCCCTCCTCAGGAGACTCCCCACCAAGGCCCCGTGCCCTCCCCACCAGGTATACAGACACCCAGTGGCCCTATTGCCAAATACGGCAATCTGAGCCTGGGGTATTGCTATCAATATTTCAAGCCTCGAACAACACTGTCTAAACAACACCTATGAAATATGAATGGATTGAGGTTTTGACAAGCACACAGTCCAGGCATAATACCCGGGGGGTGAGGAGGGGACAATGAGGAGGGACCACCCACCACACCCCTGGAGTCAAGCGCAGGGTTAGCGGGGTGGCAGTCCTCCACTTGTAGGGTCACCGGGGTCAGTGTGCTGGGTACAGGGCTGAACTGGGGTCTATGTCTGCAGTCTGGGGGTCTGTCTGCAGTCTGGGGGTCTGTGTATGTAGTCTGGGGTTCTGTCTGCAGTCTGGGGGTCTATGTCTGCAGTCTGGGGGTCTGTGTAGTCTGGGGTCTGTCTGCAGTCTGGGGTCTGTCTGCAGTCTGGGGGTCTATATCTGTAGTCTGGTGGTCTATTCTGCAGTCTGGGTGTCTGTCTGCAGTCTGGGGGTCTATGTCTGCAGTCTAGGGGTCTGTCTGCAGTCTGGGGATCTATGTCTGCAGTCTGGGGGAAGTGCTCGGCAGACTGTCCTCCAGGTCTCTGGGACTTTGGGGAGGGACTGAGGGAAGAGTGAGTGTGGAGCTTGCTTAGAGCACCCAAAGGCCCCTCCCCTGCAGCAGGAAAGAGGCCACTGGTTCAGGTCTCTGTGATCAGCCAGAGAGAGGGGAGGGCGGACGGGGCCGTGGATGGTCTTTCTTCTCAGACTTCCCTCCCTCATCCCTGGAGCTGCTCCAGCCGCCTGCGCGGCCCTACCCTGCTGGGCACTCAGCGTGCCAAAGCAGCTTCTCTGGCCTGTCTCCGGTACTCACCAACCTTCCTGGGAGCCGGCTGTGGCACCACTAGGCTGGTCCCCCCGGACTGGCCGCAGCGCCTGAGCTGTCTGGGCACGGGAGGAATTCCAGCATGGGGTGATGTACGGACAAAGGTCCCACAGTTGTAGGCACCTCTCACCTCCCTCCACCTTCACAGGTGTCTGTCTCCAGGAGTCTCATCCGCAGCTCCTTCCTCCCTGGCCGAGAGGTCACACACTGTCCAACGGGTCACGGACACTCAGGCCTCAGTTTCTCTGCATATAAAATGAAGGAGTTGGTCACGACTTTCTCTGAGGTCTCTTCTAACCCTGACACCTGGTAGGATCATGATTCATCACCCTCTGCAG